GACGATAGCCAACAACTCTTTTTCAATGACTGAGTAATTCCTTTCAGAATCATTGAGTGTTCGCGAGGCATATGCAACGGGTAAGTCACGTCCAATGGGACCTTGGGATAGAACCGCTCCAAGGGCTACGTTGCTAGCATCTGTGGTCAAATTGAATGTTTTTGTGAAATCAGTAAATTGTAATATAGGTTCGTTCAAGAGAAGATTTCTACATGTTTCAAAACAGGATAAAAATTCGTCATTATGTTCAATTTTCGATCCTTTTTTGAGGCATTTAGTGAGGGGTTTTGTTAAATTGGAAAAATTATCGATGAATTTGCGATAATATCCTAGCAACCCCAAGAAACCTTTTATTTCTTTGGTAGTTTTTGGAAGAGGATAGTTTTTTATGGCTTTAATTTTGTCTGGGTTCGGGTTAACACCCTGTGGAGTAACAATATGGCCTAAATATGCTACTTCCTTACACATAAATTCCGATTTGTCTAACTGGATCTTAAAATTTGATTCTCTGAGTCTCAGAAAGACTGATCTTAGTCGTTCCAAGTGTTCTTGTAAGGATGTCGAAAATATTATTATATCGTCGAGGTAAACCAAACATTTTTCATTCTGGATACCTCTAAGAATATTGTCCATAATTCTCTGGAAAGTCGCAGGCCCATTTTTGACCCCAAATGGCATACGTAAATACTCGAAATGCCCATTTTCAGTGCTAAATGCTGTTTTTTCAATGTCCTTTTCATTCATCTCGATTTGGTGAAATCCGCTCGCTAAATCGAGTGTCGTAAAATATTGGCATTCACCTAATTTATCGAGTAAATCTGTTATATTTGGTAAGGGGTATCGATCGTCAATAGTTTTTTCATTCAATCTCCTATAATCCACAACAACCCTCCATTTTTGTTCTCCTGAGGAATCAGCCTTTTTAGGTACGACCCAAATTGGAGATGACCAGGGGGAATGACTTTCCCTGATAATATTTTGGTCCAGCATTTTTTTAATTTGGTTTGCAACCTCTTGTTTGTGAATGAAAGGGTATCTGTAAGATTTTGAATAGACAGGAATTTCGTCAGAGGTATTTATACTATGTTTAATTTTGCTTGAAAAAGTTAAAGGTGTATTGTCATGACAAAATATATCAGAGAATTCTTTGCATAGCCTGAGAATTGATGCCTTCTCCTCGTTATTCAAATGATCTGTTCGAATTTTGGAAATATCTAAATTTAGCTTTGGTGTGTCATCAAAATTATTAAAATCAAATTTTCGAATTTGGTTCCTGTCAAAATTTTCAACTGGAATTATTTCTGAGAGATCGAGGCAAATTTGATTTGTTGAATTATTCAGAATGGTTGTTAACGCTATTCCATTTTTTGCGAAAGTCAGACATTCTGGAATTTCACAATATTGAAATCTCTGGTGAGGGATTATTATTTCACCATCAGTAATAGAAGTTTTGATTTTGATTACTTGTTCCGATCGAGGTAATAATTTGATTAAATTCAAATCGCTTTCTGTTTTATGATATAACAGATCGATTCTTGTATAAGGGGTACCTAATCAATAATCCGTTGTCAAAACACAATTTCGCTTGCAGGATTTTCAAATTATCGATACCGATCAAACCATCAAATACATTATGAAATTTGAACAAGAAAAATTTCAGATATTGTTCTTTAGGCAATTTGAATATATTTGGACATGGAATCATTACACTCTGTTTGTGTGCGGATTTTTGGAAAACTGTCGAAACAATAAAAGGATCGTGTCTAATTGTAGTTGGAAATAATTTATACGCTAGATCAGGTCTGATAAAAGATTTCGTTGATCCCGAATCAATTAAAAATTTCAAGTCATATTCCGGAAATACAATATAGGGTAATTCACTGGTATTAACGTTATTGAGTGATATAACCTGCGGTTTCACGTTTGATCGTCCGATCGAGGCTGGCTTTGAAAATTTTCATTTGAAATTTGTCTTTCATCAATTTCTAAATCAGAAAAATGTTCGAGATTATCATGATTTTGGTATGGGGGTTCGGGAAATTGGTTTTCGTACTGGTATTCCCCATAATTTTGGATCATTTCGCCATTTTCATGAAATGATTGATTTATTTCGGTATTATATAATTGTTCTGAGTTGGAGTGTCTTTGTGGTTGTCTCGATGTTGAAGGATAATGTTCGTGATTAGTAGAATTCCTCGTAGAAACGCTCATTGGCTGAGGATATGATGTATGTCTAGTCGATGTACTCATTGGTGTAGGGTTTTGAAAATGTTTGAGCTGGTTTGGTTTGAAAACATTCTGTTTTTGTTGAGGTTGCCTAAAGACTTCGGAATTATTAAAACAATTTTGTGGTTGAATGTTGGTTCTTGTATCAATTGGGATTGGTTGAGAAGGAAATCGCTGATTCTGAAACTGATTATTATAAGTATGTCTATTGTATGGTATAGGATTCTGAGAATAATATCTATTTTGTGGAGCCATATCAAGTCTAGGCTGATTTGAGGGTCGATAAAAATTCTTATTCGTTGAATTTTGAAAGTAATGAACGTTTTCTTCTTGAATCACAAATTGCAAGGCTTCATTAAGTGTAGTAGGCCTCATGCAACGAATTGTAGTACCTAATGGTTCTCTGAGTCCAGATAAAAAAGTTTTCAATGCCAAATTATTATATAGAATTTTTTTTGTACCTTTTGAAACATCTACTTCATGGAGTTCCACATAACTACATAATAAATTGAGAATATTCAAACATCTACCATAAAACAGTTGCGGTTTTTCATTTGGCATTTGCCTCAACATCACTAAATCCCTATTAAGGCAGGGTTCGTCTCTCTGGTCAGCAAAATTTCTAACAAGAGTATCTTTCAAATCATCCCACGAAGAAACGTTCTGAATGTTGATAACAAGTTTAGCATTTCCCGTTAATTTTGAAATCAAAGAATTCAGTAAATAGGTATTCTGAAAATTATTGGGGTTTGTTCGATCATAAAAATTTAGTATTAAACTGTCACAGACAGAAATATATCTATTCAAATCATTCGGATTGCCATCGAATGTTGGGACGCAATTCAGATATTCCGGTTTGAATGTTTGAGTCATTATGTATCCTATTATTGTATCTGGAATTGGATTATTAGGAGGAGCTTGTGAGTCAACGAAAGATTCTTCTTCTTTTTCGATTATTGTCAAATGTTCTAAAGCTTGAGCCAAGTTATCAAAATTGTCAACCATTGAATTGTACCTACATCAAATAAACGACGACTCTGTGCATCATCTATGAGGATCACGTCTGGATCGGCGATTTTGTCTTCACCAGGGTTGTTCTCCTCTCAGAAATGGACTATTTTGTTCCAAATCTCGGTGGGTTGCTGCTGTTGGGTTTTCTGCGGATCTGCGATAGATTGGGCGTCCTGAAGTTCGAGGAACCACTCCGTTTCAAATATCAACTAACAGTTTTTCACCAAATTGTTCAATATCCAGTTAATCGTTGATACGAAAATTGTCCGTTCGATACGAAACAATTCCGGATATCCTAACCGACTGCGCCAAATAACTTTTGATGCAACAAGGTACGGGTTTTATTGATGGTTTATTAAAATATTTATCAACTGTCTTACATGAAGAATATATCTTGACTGTCCACAGAATGTGGGAAAGAGAATGAAATTATAACTGAAAGTTGATTCCTAGAATATTCAGTGCACGGTTTCCCGTATTGTCTGAAGACGACACCTTTTAACAGCGTCTTGTTTCTGTCGAAGTAGATGTACACCAAAGTGGCAATGTCCTATCACAGTGATGATATAACAAATGCAACAAATATTGACCAATAATCCGTGTGGTGAGAATATTCTACCTGCATTAACAGCAGGTTCATTCAATTTCCAAGAATGTTCGAATTGTAGTTTCAATATAAATACAACTACAGGGCACATAGTGACATATTTGTGTATATGGACCAGGTGATCTGATGACGAATACCGCGTCAGTGCGTCAGTGCCAGGTATAGGAACAAGAAGTGGAAAATGTTAGGTTAGTGAGCATATCAACAATAATAACAGTGATTATTTATTCCTCTCCATACTACACTGTGTTTGGCTTGAAAATCAAATATGAAGGTGAACGATATCGTTGTATAAGACGAAAAGATTATGCTTGCCGTGATTATTCAAAAAAACAAGTTACCCATCTCGAAAATAACGAATAAATACGGATCAAGCAAGTGTTTGGAATCTTGAAGGCTTCCCTGATCAAAACAAAGATAATCAACTTAGATATTTATAATTTCAATACTTGACTATAATGAGGTGTATTTATATCTCCAGCATGGGTATAAAATGCTAAATCTGCCGAAATCGGAACCAAATAAAATCAGGTATGCGTCCCAACCCAAATAACCAACCGTTACAATGTGTTTTATTCTTGATGACGTCTAGTACATCCTCTCAGTTCCTAGGAGCTAAAGTTCAACTTTAGCTCCTTGGAACTATATATGTTGCCTAGCAACATATCTATTTTTGTGTCAGTAATAGAAACGTCAATTCAAGAGCTAATTTTGGTATCGAAATGGTTGACTTTTATATCAGTTGCAGATAAAAAATATTTTTTCTTCTGAATAACTTCTATTCGTGAGCTGAGTAGACTCCTACAATCATATTTAATCGAAATGAAGCTATTAGAGTAATAAAACTTCCAGTATGTTTTCTACATTGGTAGAGGTTTTTAGGTTGGCAACTTGGAGCGAAGTCCCCCATTAGGAATCAGCAAGTGTAAATGTAAACAAAAATGAACTGTCGCTTCATCTCATTGTCAATATTGACACGGGGATCACCATGGCCATGGATGCGGGGAACTAACAGTTGCAATAAAGTCAGGTTGCACGTGACGCTACGATTTCATGATGACGCTTTGATGAAAGGTTATTTGATGGAATTGCCTTTCGCAAACATGTCATTATTTGCAAATTCTAGGGTAGGTCGATGAAAGAAAATACTACTTGCCTTGGTGGTCCGTGGCAACGGGAGGAAACGCCATGATGGCCGTGGTGACCGTGAAGATTGTTTGACATCCTTAGCTGAAACAAAAAATAACGAATGGTTGTGATTTTTGAAAACAAATATCGTAAATACAGTGTCTAATAGGTTATTACCTATCAATATTTAGAATAAAATTGGGGAGACCGGAAAGAAAATATCAATAATTTTTGATGGCGTCGCTGTGGCTTCTGATGTATTCAAAATACAGGGTGTCCGTTTTTCGAGCTCCACCATGGGATCTCAGTTATTATAAGAGACATGAGGTCGGTTAAATTAGGACATAGTTGCGCATTACCATGCTGAACATTCATCTGCAAAAAAATCGATGTGTGTGATTTCTAGTTTTTGAAATATTGAAAGGAAACGAAAATTTATAATTTTCGCTTTTATTTTTTCAAGCAGAAACCAAAAGACCTAGACGTTTCAGACTGGGACATTCACTTTTTTACAAGGAATCTGAATCGTCATTGTATTTTCCATGACGTTCTTGATGCCGAAGTTAGATCACACAACTTTGTTTTCTCTCATGGGCGCCATATTGGATTTTCAAATTTTTTTAAAGCCTTTTTTCTGATTTTGTATCAGGAACGACGTAATGAACTAGAAGTTTATTCTTCGTAAAACAAAACAAAGTACAAACACAATTCAACGCGATTCCTCAGATTCTAAATAATAATCCAGAGTGGAGAGAGATCAGGTGACCGCGCTGGCCAACGTTCTGTTAGCATATTCAATTGAACTGTCAAAATTCAGTTTGTTAAACAAAACTGTTGGTGTTCGCAAAAATGTTTTTTTCCCAATTTTGATCGACAGGAAAGATTCGATAATATCGTGTGATACATCATTGTAATAAGAAAATACTTCTCAAAAATGCAATAGTCCGATATGGCGCCCATGAGAGAAAACAAAGTTGAGTGTTGTAACTTTGGCCTCAAGAACGTCATGGAAAATACGATGACAGATTCAGTCTCCTCGTGGAAAAGTGCCTTAAGAATGTCCCAGTAAAAAACGTATAGGTCTCTTGGTTTTCGCTTGAAAAAATAAAAACGAAAACTACAAATTTCCGTTTTCTCTGATTTATTTCGAAAGCTAAAAAGGACACATCGAATTTCCTTGCATATAAATGATCAGCATAAAAATGCGCAACTTGGTCCTAATATAACCGACCTTGTATCTCTTATAATAACTGAGATCCCCATTGAAAAACGGGCACCCTGTATATGATTTAACACAATGCTGTTGATTGATTTTTTTCAAGTTTCCTCCTTTCTTTTATTGTCACTTGGTTTGAAAGATTATCTAGAATCGTCTGATAGACTTTCAAATGAAATTCAATATTATACTTCCTATTGAAACAATACCTACATATATCAATTTCTGAATTTCTGTCATTTGAAGTGAATTAATATCACAATATTCGATACATGTTCATTGGACATCCCTTTCGGAATATTCAGAGAACATCCAGAGATGATATTCAATGTATATTTTATGGACGTTTAATGGATAATCTGAGTTAATGGAACCGGACTTCCATAATAATACTTTCAGGGATATTCATGACAAGATTTCCAGATATAATATACCGGGTGTCCCATTTTAATCTTTATTTGGAAATTTCTCGAAATGTATGCATCTGACAAAAAAAATTGCCGAATAAAAGTTGTATGGTTTGGAGGGGGACGTCTGGTTATAAAACAAGTTTCACCCCCTGACCCCCAGGGGAGTGAGAAATGGAGGTAACATTGAAATCTTTAATGGAAACCCCTAATTTTTATTGCAGATTCTGGAAGAGCTTTAAAAACTATGAAGCTTTTAACCGGGAACTTCTTTTTTATTTTAACAAGGTATAGGATATTGTAAATGGATATTACAAGATATTCTCGATAATGTCCATGTTATATTATTGGGAAATATTATATATAGGAAGTTTTATTATATGGTAGGTTGAAAGATAACACCGAATTGATAATAATATATACAATAAACAAGACAATGAAAAATTCTAATCGCCTACATCTGAGATTGAATGAAAACGATTCAAAACAAATCATTCTTGAGAAAATTACAATCTTATTAAGAACCTTCTGTTCTTCGAAGAAACTGTTGTGAATGTAAAATGGATATGTGTGTTTATTATTCCAAATTTTTTGAGATTTTCTCTCCTCGTTTCTTTATAATGAAAATATGGATACTATTTCAATATACGTGTAGTAAGGACAAATCAGATGATTTGCCCCGAAATGTCACTGTGTTTAAAGAATTTTCCTATCAGAGAGTCTGAAAGAAAAATTCACTAACTTGTCAGTGACAATTTGTATTGAAAAAAGTTTGTAGAAGAGAAATAAAGGTATATAGAAAAAATATCAAATTTTCACGTTTCGAGACCGATTCTGCTCTCGTTTTCAACATAAGATATGATTATTTCGATAGCTAAGTCGTATTTGTCTTGAAGCTTTTCAGTTTTCATTGACAATTGGTGACGTTGGCAATCAAATGAGTTAAAGGATGTTTTATTTATTTATTTTATTTTATATATTCAGGAATACAAACAGGACGAGCCTAAAAACAGTATTCACAGGTAGTCATATAACATTATGATTATTATAATACTCATCTTAGAAATTTAGTGGGGAACCTAGTTTAAACTTAGAATGGTATACAAAATTTTGAAGAATTTTAAAAGAAATACAATAAATCTGCAATGTGCTAACGAGGATTCAGAGGTTCGAGAAAAAGTATGTTTTGAGTTTATTTACAAAGGTGGTAAATGAATTACAAAATATATCAATATCAATCAGATTTGATATTGAATTATAGCTTTTGAAGCAACGATGATGGGGGGAGTTCAAACAGTAATTTGTGTTGGCCGCTTTTGTGTGAAATAATTGATGACTTCGAGTGGGGTATTGCGGTACGTTATATCGAATGGAATTATTAATTGGGATTGAGTCTATCATATTATTTACCAACTTAAACAAAAAGTTTATGTCGGCAATATCTCTTCTATTTTCGAGATTAAGTAAATTCAACTTTCTGCTTATAAAAGTTTTATCGACATGAGGCGTGTTACGGAAGTATTTATTCTCAATATAGTGTATGAATTTGTTTTGAATATTCTCTACTTATTCAATGTAAATAATGTACTAGAGATTCCAGATTGTAGAGGCATAAGTTAAGGTGCTATTGACATAGGACATGAAGAGTATACGAGCAGTTTTAGGATCTTTAAAATCATAACACGATCTGATGATGAAGCCTAGGGTCCTATTTGCCTTTTTAGCAATATATGCAATATGCTTGTGCAACAACATTTTTGTATCGAAAATTATTCCCAAATCTTTCACCTCAGTGAGAATATCGAGTATATGATTTGATAGTCTGTAATTAAAAATGACTGGATCATTATTTCTACTGAAAGTGATCTGATGGCATTTGTTAAAATTCAAATATAAAGCATTTTCTGTGCAATATGAATAAAGTCTGTCTAAATCTTGTTGGACCAAAAAAGCGTCCAGTGGTTTTTTCACATTGTGGAAGATCTTTAAATCATCAGCATACATTATGAATCTCGGGAACTTGAAACATTTAGAGATATCATTTATGTATAAATTAAAGAGGAGGGGTCCTAGATGCGAACCTTGAGGTACCCCGGAAGTTGTTTGTGATACATAGTTTCCTATGGTTGTTGCCTGAGAGCGATTGTAAACGTATGATTCAAACCGGCTCAAAAGTGTTCCACTAATGCCAACCTCAGCTAGCTTGAGCACAAGCAAACCATGGTCTATCTTGTCGAAAGCCTTGCTAAAGTCGGTGAAAACTGCGTCCACTTGATTCCTATTGTTCAGGTTCTCAAGTACGTACTCAGTATAGTCAAATAAATTTGTTTCTACTGATCTTTTTTTAATGAATCCGTGTTGTTCGATGTTGAGAATACGATGTCATAGCTGAGAAATTCGAATATTATTGATTCAAATAATTTGGCAAGGATGCAGAGTTTTGATACTGGTCTATAGTTCTGAACTAATTGTCTGTTTCCCGACTTATGGATTGGGACAATGAATGCCCGTTTCCATATGCTTGGAAAATATCCTTCTTTCAAGGATTTATTGAAAATTATGAACAGCGGCGTGGTTAGGCTTTCAGTACAACTTTTAATGAACTCGCTGGACAAATTGTCTGGTCCAGGCCCTTTTTTAGGAATACTTTTGAGTTTTTCGTAAATTCTGTCTACTGTATTGTGATAATTATCAATATTGGGTGTGTTATAATTTACGGCTGGTCTTTTACTTACGTTGGTCAATGGTTGATTGAAGGTTGATGAAAAGTGTTCTGAAAATATATAACAAATGTTTTGACCATCATGAACTATGTTTCCATTGTGGCATATAGTGTTAATTCGACTAGAAGTATTTTTCCTATTCTTCACAAACTGCCAAGATTGTTTCGGCCCTGCAACGATGTTATTTTCACACGTTTTCATCAATTAATCTTGAATTTACCATTTTCATGTTCAGATTTCAGTAGTGAATACCATGTTCTGTCTATATCAACTGAATAAGAAGCAATGCTATTGTCTCCGATCAGAAGAATGCAAGCAGATTCCTTGATTTTGCTCTTCTGCTTGTTATCTTCTTTTCGAATTAATTTAATATTATTCCATTCTGACATATGTTGTTCGTCTTCAGTAAGGATATGTTCAGCTAGTTTCGATTTATCGATGTGTCTTTTCTTTATATTGTACTTATGTTCCTTCGTTCTTACTGAAAGAGGTTTCTTGGTTTCACATGTATAAATCTTATAGAAAATTCTTTAAACGCAGTGACATCTTGGGGCAAATCATCTGATTTGTTTTTACTACATGTATATTGAAATAATATTCATATTTCTAATTTATAGAAACGAGGAGAGAAAATCCCAAAAAATTTGGAATAATGAATGTACCACCTCCTCGATTAACCTACAGACAATATGTGTGTCTCACTTCTAATGAAAACACCCCTGTATCTTACATATTCGATGGAATTTTCTGGGGCGA